ACTGACTTGATGGCCCGGAGGCCCCAGTCGTAGTGGTCCTTTGGGAAAGGTCAGAGAGCATGGTGAGCATCGGAGGATCAGCAGGGCGTGCTCCCTGCACTATCTTTGCCTTTTTGTTATCTCTTTTCATGTCATTCACAAGCCCCGCCTTAATGCATACCATGCTTTACCCTTCTCAAATCTGAGAGGCTCCAGTGTTTAGTCAGGGTGGACGTTGTGATGTCGCCCCCCCCCCCCCGCACTACCTGGGGTCTGCATCACAAAGTCATTAAGGCAGAGGGGTTTAGTCTTTTTGGGGACAGGAACGATGGTGGAGTGTTTAAGGCCCAGGCTCCACGGGAACGCATACTGCAAAACGCATAGGATTAACGCAAACGCAATCGCCAAAAAGCTTCCGTCCACACGCAATATACACCGGATAGTGTCTTCCCACACGAGACAGCTCCATTTAGATCCAACCGCTGGAAAAGCTGCAGTACATATGCCGAGCCTGTACGTGGCGCTGTAACTTCCTCCACAAAAGCAGCAACTTCCTCCACAAAAGCAGCGAAGAAGAATGGTTGTCATGGTTGCACTTCTGTGTATTCTCCGCGGTGGGGGCCGAGGGAACCGGGCAGAGTTTTTCGCCGGTCAACGTGTGTTAAAGTTTAAATCTTCCGGACAAAATTATAAAAGTGCCAGTCAAAGGTCTTCTTTGTTATTTATTGAGCTTTAAAACAAATGAATAACGACTCTATATAATGATATATAATAATAAAATACACGGAGCCTCTCTTTTTCCTCTCTTCTGACAGCGTCAGTGTCTGTCTCATGCAGCAGCTGATCCAGTAATGATGACTCGACAGTAAAAATAAACATATTTATAACTAGTTTAGGTAGTTTGAGAGGTAATTAAAATAGCTAAGGGTGATGATCTGACTTGAAGTGTGTGTTTTGCTCCCGCTGCATCACAGCGGGAGGAGCTGCGTGTCTCCGTCCTGTCAGATTAGACTTCACTCGCGTTTATGTCCATATCGAGAGAAAGATAAATAATCTGAATTCAGTGTGCAGTGTACTTTTGCGGGGGTGAGCAGCAGAGGTGGGGAGAGGCGGGGCTATTGCGTCGTCATTATCAGAAAAGGATGACCGTATAGGCTACCACACAGCCCCGTTGGACCCCCCAGAGTGCTCCGTTCCCAGATCTATCCACCTTTGGACCCGTTGTCGTTTGCAGGGTCCGTTTCTACCGTTCCGTTACGGCGTCGTGTGGCAAAAAGGGCTATACGCAAGAGAAATATGCGGATACAACCCGTTTTCGTTCCCGTGGAGCCTAGGCCTAAGACATGTGGGGACTACAGACTGCAGCAGGGACCTGTTGAAGATGTCTGTGAACACCTCTACCAGCTGAACTGCACACACCCTGAGAACACGGCCAGGGATGCCATCAGGTCCTGGAGCCTTGTGTGGGTTAACCCTTTTAAATGATTTGCACACATCTGCCCTGTCTAAAACAAAAGGGCAGGGCTCCTGGGCTTCATGTGCGTCCACAGCCTGGCTGCTCTCAAAGCGTGCCTAAAAAGAGTTCAGTTCCTATGGGAGAAACGCACACACTTCCTCATAGTCTGTTATTTGTCTTAGTCCCGCCCATATATTTCTGGTGTAAGAGCCTCTTAGTCAGACTACAGTTTGACCCTACTGGAGGTAGGTCAAACTGAAATCACTGACGCTGCGTGCGATAGCCTGTGCTTTACATTTAGCATGGACTTCACCATTTATTTTATACACCATTTGGGAATGTCTGTACAGTAAGTATTTTATGGCATGACTGCAGAGCCATGGAGCCTGCAGAAGTTCTCTGATGAGGGTGAGGTTTATGAGTGGACAGCAGCCTTTGCCAGGGGCAAAGAGGGGTCCGTGGCAAGGAGGACCCCGGGGACTTACAGTAAACAATACACTTATATTTCAGCTCCCTGCAAACTTTGATAGCATGGAATATATTTAACTATACTCTCCTAGAATGCTCTGGTGGCTAACGTATATTTGTTCAGCACATGACCACTAGCACACCCTATGCAATATAAAATCTAAAATGATAAAGCACCTGTTTAAAAGGCAGTAGTCCTCAGGATCTGCATTCTCTGTTAATATAAGTTCAGTGTGTGCTTAGCGAAGCAGTCTGTTGTGCTCATTTTGAAAGCACACAGCAACTAGCAGAGAAATGGGGGCTCCAATACAGGTCCAATCCATCACAATGACACACGCTTTATTCCCAGTGTGTTCAGCTATCCTCCCTGAAGTAAGATCTACCTTCTCAATAAGAAAATAAGGAAAACATTTTTCTCTTATGAAAAATAATAATCTGGCTGTAAATCTCCACAATTATAACTAAAAAGAGTGACAACTTTCACTACGTCATGTTTGCCTCTGCCACAATTAAGGCCTTTCAAAGCTTCACAGCTTTAAGATCAGTTTGGATTTCCTCTCTGTTCCCACAGATCTTGTCTGGAGGTCTGCTCAACAGACTGAACATGTTTTAAACAGGTGGAAGCAGAAACTGTCAGAGGACGAGGTGCTGATGAAAGCAGGAGCTGTGATTTGCTCCAAACCTGGAGGGTCGCTGAGGGCCTCTGTTAACAAAAACAGCACTAAATATGTGGATTTATAGAATGCCAAAGGGAAAATAATACAATATTAGCAGCATAAAAGCATTGAATACAAAGAAGCTGGATGTGAGGCTTGATATGGAGAACAAATCTGGACATGGATAGTGGCGACAAACCATCACAGAGGGTTTAATAAGCGATTTTAGATTCTCCCTTTGACAGACTAGACTCTAGTAGTTACTACATTACTCAGAAGTTTACAGTAACTTTGGATAATAACACGGCGGGTTTAATAAACGGAGCCTCTCTCTCGCTCTCTCTCTCTCCTGACAGCCCGTCTGTGTCTCATGCAGCTCGCTGATCCAGTGAATGAGTGACCCGACACGACAGTAAATAATAAACATAGGTCTAACTTTTAACATTTTAAATATTTCTAGTCACTAGAGGGATTTCCACCGCAGGTTTATATTTTCGTAACATTTGCGCGACTTGTCCACAAGCAACTGTCACAGGGGTTGTGCTGTAGTGCAGAGACATGGCTGAGTCATCAACAGCTGTAACTATCGAGGGGTTGAGGTATGCCCATTATTTTTAATTTGTAAGATGAAAGGACAGGAATGTAACGGTAAGGTGCACTGCTGGACAACACAACATAAAACCTCTCCAAGCACCTGCAAAGGCAACATGCTAACACGAAGCTAGTAGCTAAAGACCCCCAAACCCAGAGTGATGATGTTGAGTGTGTGCCTACTCCGAACAAGCAGCGAAAACAAACATTTTCACCGTTATTAACTTGTGTTATGTCTTCCTTATTGCAATAGTAATTGCTATATGTGTGCACATGTAGGCCTACGTTTTCAGTTTTGGCTAGGCTGTTGCTGAGTAACACTAAAGTCATGTAAAGAGTAATGTAACGAGTTACTTTATGTAGAGAGTAACAAAGTAAAGTAATATATTACTTTTTTTTAAAGTAATGACTAATATGTAATACATTACTTTTTTTGAGTAACGACCCCATCACTGTTGTGATGTCACGAGAGGGTGCATCACAGAGGGCAGATATATTCCCTCTCGGTGGATGCAACAGGGACTGCATTGATGATGGTTTGGCTGATTGCTCTCTGGAGAGAGCACAAAGGGGGAGGGAGGCAGTTCTAGTTACGTTATATAGCAGTCAGTAAAAGTCCTTAGTTACCTTAATATTTCAGTTTTGTTTATTATTGAGGATATAACTTTTATGGTTGTGAAAAGACAAAAATACACTTTAAGTTTGAAATCAGCCTGCTGTCTTTTATTCATCGCACCCTCACCTCAAGCTGAAGATCGTAAGCCTCTCGAGTATCAGAAGGAAGTAGCTAATGATAAATCTGCAGCCTCTGAAAAGTGCTGCGTCAGAGAAACAGTGCCATTTACGCACGGCCGCTCACTTCGCTAGATCCGCTAAAAAGGACAGCAGGCTGCAGTCTAACCACACAGACACACATCAGGCTGCGGTCTAACCACACAGACACACATCAGGCTGCGGTCTAACCACACAGACACACATCAGGGTCTAACCACACAGACACACATCAGGCTGCGGTCTAACCACACAGACACACATCAGGGTCTAACCACACAGACACACATCAGGGTCTAACCACACAGACACACATCAGGCTGCGGTCTAACCACACAGACACACATCAGGGTCTATCCACACAGACACACATCAGGCTGCAGTCTAACCACACAGACACACATCAGGCTGCAGTCTAACTACACAGACACACATCAGGCTGCGGTCTAACCACACAGACACACATCAGGCTGCGGTCTAACCACACAGACACACATCAGGCTGCAGTCTAACTACACAGACACACATCAGGGTCTATCCACACAGACACACATCAGGGTCTATCCACACAGACACACATCAGGGTCTAACCACACAGACACACATCAGGCTGCGGTCTAACTACACAGACACACATCAGGGTCTATCCACACAGACACACATCAGGGTCTATCCACACAGACACACATCAGGTGCTCGCTCATTATTCCGTATTCTGCCGTTGTATGCTCTTTGTTTCTAAATGTATCAATGTATTGTGAACCAAAACTAAATAACATGCAGTAGTTTAACATTTCATTTCACTCATTGCGGCGTGCTGCTTAATCATTTAAATAATATTTAAGCTTCTTATAAGTGAAAATGTTTAAGAGAGAAGGGTTTAGAAAAAGTGTCTTTACTATAGGGAATATGCATTACACAGTTACCTTCAATGATATGCAGGCATTTCTTTTAATTTAATTTTTGTTAACGAGAAACATCTATTAGAACAGGCCCAGCCGAAATTACATTGGCCCACCCACAATTGAGATCCTGGCGCCGCGGCTGACCTACACCATTGAGAAATGAAGACTGGAACATTAACTCAGAGCTGTGTTTCTTCTCCTGAACAGAGCCTTGAGGTTCTCCGGAAGCTCCGTCCGGCCGGCGTATCCTGGGTTCATCGTGATGAAGATGCCAACAGAGGGGCAGAGGCTCACCTCCTCCCTCATGACGGTAAACCTCTGCTTCTTGTCTCGAATGGCGTCCTGGATGCTTTTTACCTTTAGCAGAGGAAAGAAAATAACAATCAGAGTAGAATGAATTGGTATGAAACCTTAATACCTTTTTTCCATTTGGTTCATTAAATTGAATGTTAAACAAAGAGTCTTCAGTCCTGCTCGCAGCTCTGTGAAGCGCTACTTAGCCAGCAAGCTAACAAGCTCACATTAACAAAGCTAACATGCTGATGCTAAATGCATATGTTGCTAAGCTACATGTACTGTAGGCTAATTTGATTGTAGGATTGGACTCCTGTGGTGGCTGCATGTAAATGTTTTAGACATTTCCCAAACAAATCAGAGCGTTGTGAAGACAGGAAATTCACAACGTGTTTTGCATATTCTGCTTCAATTCATATTTGTTTGGTGTTTAGCCTTTTAAAATCAATGTTGCAGCACTGCCTCACCCACACCCACTTCAGGGTGAGCAGCAGCAGTCAACCTTTCAGTTTCTACAGTGTGGGGGCTGAATGCTTTCAAAGTTTTTTCTTCCCTTCAGTTTTAATGTCATATTCATCCACTTGACCTGAACTATCAGCTGATATAGCAGATCCATCATTTCTACCGTTTATCTTTAAACTAATAAATCACCCTTGTGTTAACCTGGTAGAGAAGGGGTGGGGGAAAAGCAGGCGTCCAGTAGGGGGGGGGGCACCGTGAAGCAGCGGCTCCCAGCAGCACCCTGCTGCCACTAGCTAGTTTGTGGAATCGTGTGCGACTGTTTGTCTCTTGCCTTGAACAAAAGCCCAGAATTCCAGCCTGTAAGAGGATTTCTGAATTGAACATGCCTGTGGTAATAGAGCGTAGCTGGAAATAAAAGGGACATCTCTTCATGAATGAGTTATCAGCTACAGATCACTCAGTCACACAGAGAGGACAAGGGAAATACAAAAAGCACACACAGCAAAGAGTAGAAGTAAAGCTGTGAAAAGGGGTATGAAAAGTGATAAAACACGAAACACCTTTCAGTGTAATCCTTTTCTGTCTTTTTGAATGTACGGACTGGAACTAGCTGCTTCAATATATTCATTCTGTAACAGAGGCCAAACTACACCAATGTATCTCCATGTTGTAACGTCTGAGGCCTTCTGTTTTTCCCTGCTTTATTTATTGTTGAACTATTCCTGCCACCTGTGTTAGCAGAGGGAGTGTGTGTTGTGCGCTGAAGAGTGTGTGAGTGCTGGTGAGAGAGAAGCAGCCGGACACTCCTCTCTTCTCAAGGTCTACCTCTCCACCTATATGCTATCATGACCTATTCTTTATTTCCCCATGCAACATTTATTCTGGCTCTTACTCTTAGCATAGTTTGCTTACACAGCTTACAGAATACGTTTTTTTATTCACAGTCGGAGGGAAAGACAGAGAAGGGAATGTTGTAAGTCTAGAAAGGAGTAATAATCCTTTGAGAAGCTCCATCTCCATCTCCATCACCATCACCATCATGATCTGCCTTCTTATCAACTCAATGCATTTGGCAATGACAGTATTACACATACATGAAGACAGTGACTGGGGCAGCAGCATGCAGGATGTGAATACACCAGAGAGAGGCTCTTTTGATCCAGGATAACAGAATGCAAGATAGCAGAAAAGCTAGCATCAGCGGAAATACAATATGGCTGATTCCCTTAGGTTGCTATTCAGCAACTACACAGAGCTCAAAGTGTAGAGAATAAGTATGCATGATGCGAAGATGGAGAAGGCGCGCAAAGCCAACAGAACTTCCTCAAGTCATTTGGAGGGGACGAGTTCACTAGGAGGCACACACATAACGTTTCCATCATCATTTCTTTAGCCACTTGTGTGCAGCACGACAAGCTGTAAAGACATTCTATACATATAATCACCTCATGAAGCTGATACGGCCTGGGTATCTGCACTTTTAATAGAATTTTAGACCTTGAATATCAAAAACTAAATTCAAGACGTTTCATGAATGTGCAGGATACTTTATATGACTATTTTGTAAATTCCCCTTGTTCTCCTTAATCTGCATTATATTATTAATATTTGTAATAGTTCTCCATTGTGTTGCTAAGCCAAATCCAGGTGTCTACCTCATCACGCCAAAGAATCGTGCTGTGCTCTCCAACTCCAAGCAAGGAGGGAAGGTCTACCTCAAGGTGGTGCCAGTCATCATCAGCCATGGGGACAAGTCTCTTAACACCTACGCGATCCTGGGCGATGGAGCTGAACAAACGATGATACTGCCAGCTGCAGTTCAACAACTGAGACTCAAAGGTGAAGCTGAGTCTCTCTTCATGCAGACCATATGCAGTCTACGGGGCTGATTCTGTGAGCTGCAGCTGACCACGCCCCCCTGCAGGAGAGGGGAGCCGTGCTCTGATCAAGTCAAGAGGGGGAGAAAAAAAGATCTCCGTCCTCCGTGTTTTATTATATTATTATAGGCCTATAGAGTCGTTATTCATTTGTTTTAAAGCTCAATAAATAACAAAGAAGACCTTTGACCGGCACTTTTCAAATTTTGTCCGGAAGATTTAAACTTTAACGGACATCTTGACCGGCGAAACAAACAGAAACTGAAACTCTGCCGCACGGTCCCCTCGTTCCTTGGAAGAGGCGGAGAGGTCGGTGTTTGTCATCTGCTGGTGGACTAACCGGAGAGAATTACAGTGCTTGCCTCGAAGGGGAGGGATTGCATTGAATTAAAGCAGCGGGAGCAAACGCTTGCCTCGGGGAGGGAGAAAGAAAGCCACAGCGGAGAATAAACAGAAGGGTAACCATGGTAACTATGGGCGGGAAGTCTTCTTCGCTGCTTTTGTGGCAGACTACAGCGCCACTTACAGGCCTGGCATATGTACTACAGCGTCTCCAGCGCTTTCGAGCGGCAATGGCCGGCCGTGGCCCAACCCCACATTCCCCTGATAGGTGGAGAGTTGGCCCAATAGCCGTAGCGCCACTTCTGTGACGACATAGAAGTGTTGAAATCTGGATCAGTCTGTATCAGATCCGTTGCAGCCCCTTTTTTAGAGATTTGGGTATGGAGGAAAATAGAGAGGGTTGTGTTTTCTGACACTTGGTGAGTTCCCTGGAACACCGGGGACACGTATTCATGTATAAAAGACGTACACAAGTGCATTTTGCATGATAGGTCCCCTTTAAATAAATATGCTTTAAAATATTTTTCAGGCTTTTTTATTTCAAACTATTTTAAATTACTTTGACATTTTACAATGTAGTGCAACCAAACCCCTTTCACACATCAATAGTACATCGCTGCTCATACTACATCAGGGTTGTCCAAACTACGGCAAATTGTACTTCTTGAATATATATGTATATACGTGTTAATAAGCCCACATTTTCTAACAAATCAAACAAAGAAAAAAACAGGTTACATCACAGCTCTCCATAGGGTTTCATTTATTTAGTTGGCACCTCATTCCTTAAATCAGAAGCTTCAGATTGCTTATAATAAGAGGAAATATGAAATATATGTTATATCTCTCACAGGCTCCGTCCTCTACTGGACTGTATGGGTACTCCCCTCGATCCTATCTATGCACACATTCTTTCACTGAGACTCATACCCGTAGCCGGCCCCCTGGGCGGGCCTACCTGAATGCGCGCGCATTCCACTGCATAAGAGGCGGCCTCGCCCGCTCACTGCTATCCCTTTCTCTTTCAGTTAAGCAGCTATTTGAGTAACTGAGCGAGAGATAACAGGATAGAAAGGAACAAGGAAAAGTTTTCCTTCGGACAATCGAATATGGACTCACCTGAGGAGCGCCCGTGTCCTTCGTGTCCGGGTTCTGTCGGAAGTGATGATCCCCATACTCGGTGTATCGAGTGTTAAATTACAACAAATATATATAAAAAATAAAAATAAAACACAAGGAAAAGTCAGGAGTCGTACTCCGCTCTAACTAGAAGGCCAGAGAGAAGAAGTGTGTTTTTAGTGTAGATTTAAAAACCCCTAGGGTCTGGGCCGACCTCACATGGAGGGGCAGAGTGTTCCAGAGCCTAGGGCCAGCTGCTGCGAAGACTCGGTGCCCTCGCCAGAGCTCGACGTGGTGGAGATGGAGGACCTCGTGCAGGGAGTGCACTTCGTCTTCGCCATCCCAGCAGCCCGGACGGGTCCGGGCATCGGAGAGGAGGACGACAATGATGACACCTCGTCGTCCGGGATTTCCGCTGACCGCCTGGAAGGCCATCAGCAGAGGCCGGCTCGTCAGGACTTCTCGGCGGTGATGGCTAGGGCGGCGGAGCGTGCAGGCTTGCCACTTCCCCCACAGATACCTCCGAGGCCGGTGAGCCGCCTGCGTCAGGGCTTCTACGGCGGGGGCCGTCCAGCACAGCCGGCCTTCGTTTCACCCCCCCTGCCGGACATCTGGCGGTGTGTAGAAGCCACGTGGTGGCAGCCACTGAAAACGAAGGCTACGGTGGCTACTTGGGCAGGAATCCTCAAGGTGCAGCGAAGGGGAGCTCCGTCCTCCAGGAGGGACTGGCGGTGGGAGGAAGCGTCCCGGCGGAGAGAGGTGATTTCTCCGGTCAGGACACGAGGGCGAATTCCGCCTCCTCCCTGTTTGACCCATTGGTTACAACATCTTCTTTTCAATATAAAAAAAGAAGATTGCGGTTTTTGCGAGGGGTTAGCAGGCTGCGCCCAGTGGTGAGCGCCTCTGCCCCGCAGTGGGACCTTCCGCTGGTGCTCGATGCTCTGGTCACAGGACGATTTGAGCCTCTGGAGCTCTCTTCCCTGAAAGGACAGCATTGCTACTTGCCTTAACGTCAGCCAAAGGAGTGTCTGAGTTAACCGCTTTATCAGTGCACCCGAGTTGTTTAAACATCCGGGATGTCTCTAGTTCCCCCTCGACACATACTTGACTGATCCTTTTTTTTGTCCATGTCCGATTGGCTTAGAGCTTTCGCGACTGCAAACATACTGCAAATATATTGTAGGGCCATACCTATACAAAACATGTCTGTGAAGTTTTTTGCTTAAAATACCAAACAGTTCACCCATTGTAGCCATGCCTCATACTGCTCATACCCCTATTAGAGAAACGCGGATTTTGGGTCCTTAGCTTAAGGCGTTGTGCACACGGGAACGTTTGCGTTTATGCACAGTATGCGTTTTCAAAAAAGTCTTCCGTTCACATGCATTCGTTTCATTTAACGTGTGTTCAAACGAGGCCGCTGGAAACGCTGTAGTACATATGCCGGGACTGTAAGTGGCGCTGTAACTTCCGCCACAAAATACACCAAAAGCAGCGAAGAAGACCCTGGAGCAGCCCCGCAGCAATGTTGCCATGGCTACCCTTCTGTTTATGCCCCGCGGTGGATTTAGCAACATGTAGTTCATGTAATTCTCCATGTCCACTTGTTGCTGATGGTTGTGGTAGAGGAGCTGTAGATTTTGCACTAACATCTGTAGCATGGTCAGTAGCAGTAGCACTAGCAGTAGCTACTGACAGGAGGAAGTGTGTGTGGCGATTGCTGGTATTCAGCGGGATATAGTCATTTCCTCAGCATGTAAATATATGGATAAATGCAACGGGGAAGTTAACTGAAAGAAACCGAATCTGTGGATATTGCATCGACCGACCAAGAAGCACGTCTCCGTGGAGAGGACGGCTCAGAAAGAGAGATATTCTCTACAAACACCGGGTGAGATCGCTCCTCTGGGACACCCCGGACACAAACATTTCTCTTTTTGCCGCCGACGGGCGCAGGAGCAATGAACAATAATGGCCTGGATTAGGCAGTAAAGACAAGTTTGGTGTATCGCAGAGCGGACTGTTTAATTTTGTTTGTGTTGTTTGGCTGGAAAATTGTCAATATAATGGATCAATGCATGAAATCTGACTCTGTTTATTTTGTTTAAGGAGTATATTGGGCGTTAACAATTCTGGTTTGCCTTTTATAATATTATTTCATTCAAGAACCCCTTGTGCGTTTAATTAACACAGCTATTTTTGATAGTTGATCGTTACAGATGGCTACTGGCCATGCTACAGCAGTGAGCAGGAGAGGTGGGGCTATCGTTATTTTTTCAGGAAATATTCGTATAGAGGCGATTACACGGACTCGTTTGACCCCCCAGAGAGATTCGTTTGCAAATCTATCCACCTTGGGACCCGTTATCGTTTGTGGGGTCCGTTTCTATCGGCCTCATGTAAATAATAGGGCTATACGCAAGAGAAACTATGCAGATACAAGCCGTTTTGTCCTCGTGTAAACGGCACCTAAAACAGCGCTTTCTCACTGGAGTACTTTTCCCCGTCATTCTTAAAGTACAGATACTAATGAAACGGAGGAATCGAAACGTTTTTAACGGCAGGGTATCGCGGTACCTTTCAAGTATCGGTACACCGTGCAACACTACAATGGGACCACCTGGTTAAATAAAGGTTTTAAAAAAAAATGTGTTTAAACACATTTTTTTATAAAAACATTTTTAAAATCGCGGTAGATTTTGTCAGTCTCACGACGGTATTAAGACATTTATTTACCGCGATATCGCGATATTTCATATATCGTTACATCCCTAATAGGTCCCCTTTAAATCAACGCAGGGCTGTGACTGTCTTTGTTTCAAAAGTAATGGCCCATTGGAATGTGACAAAACTCTCCCCCCCCCACCCTGTTCTCCAGCAGTGGTCTGAAAGGGTCTCTGGAAATATCAAACATTGAATTAAAGTTTTAAAAACAGTGACAGGGTCCAAACTCAGAGGTGGAAGAAGTATTCAGATTATTTACCTCGGTAAAAATACGTGTTAGAAGTAAATGTCCTGCATTCAAAATGGTCAATTGCCCAAGTGAAAAGTATTATCATCTGAAAGTAAAATGAATCATTATGTTATTAGTATTAAATACATATAAGTATTTTTACAACTTATATTTAGAAATACTCCGTTGTAATTATTGATGCATAAATGTGTTCATCCATTCAATGTGGCATCTGCTATAATGGGGTTAATGTATGATATTACTTAATAATACAACACATTACTGTATAATACGTGATAATGTATGAGTTGATTTACTTCGATCTACTGTACTGTGTACACCACAACAATATTACAACAAATATACTGCATATTAAAGCAAACTATTGTAAAGGTAAAAGTATGAGCATAAAAAATAAAGAAGTGTAAACATTTACATTATTATGATTATTTAATATATAAAGACTATATATTATTGAATTACAATTAAGATAATAAGATTAGATATACTTTATTTGATCTAAAATATTGATGTTTTTTCGTTATAGCAGCCTGTGAAAACCATAACAAATAAGTGATTAAATGCTACAGTATTCAGCAAACACAACTGCAGAGCTGCAACATTGCAAACAGACTAAGGTCTACAACACCCAGTTGTCTTTGTGTATTTGTGAATGAAGCGCCATCTCATGGTTAAATCCTGTAATTGAACAAATGGGGAAATTTGGCAACGCCCTCTTAGGAAATAGTGGGAGGGCTTTAATCCCCCAGCCACTGGGATCCGCTGGGTTTTTGGTTGGAATCCGCTGGGTAGAGTCCTATCTGGAGTGCTACATCTGTATACTGTGAGCTGCACGCGCATTCAGGTAGGCTCGCCCTGATTGGCCGGCTACGTTTATACTACTTGTGTGTGAACGCTCGCGTATCATTAATGAAAGTAGTACCCATAGAGTCCAGTAGAGGGCGGAGCCTGTGTGAGATAGAACAATTAACTTCAATGGATAAATCTGGCACATATAAATGGGGTAATCAAGTGCTCATGTTGATTGATTTCCATTATCCCCTCTTTATAAAATAAATATAAACGATACATAAACAAGGCCTCACACTAATAAAACCAGATGGCAGAATAAGAAAGGCTTAAATGTCTCCTACCTATTTTGGAGTTTTCTTAACATTAACTCTGAAGCAGTTTAACAGCCCTCCAGAGAGCAGCTGGCAGGGAAGAAGCAGACATTCTCTCCAATAACATGCCGATTAAAACCCTGTCTGACACAAACAGAGGCTGACTGCTTGATAGATTGATTCAGCTTGAGTGTGTGTGCATTACTGAAAATGAGTAACTTGGTGGGGCTCTGTGTTCCTCAACGAGTGTATTAGCAATTCTCTGTGACACCTCCCTGCGCTGTGTGTAGCCGGAGGGCTGCACACAGCTACACTGTAATAATGCCCCCGTCTGGGGGAAGCAGGAGCAAGTCAGATCACAAGATTATGTTTAGGTCTCTTCTCAGCACTTCTTATGCAGAAAGTGTGTGCAGTACATGAGCGCATAATACACCAAGGTGGAGACTGGTAGTGCATTTTGACAAGGTTTAGATAAGAAATAACAATCCTGCTGGCAGAAGGAAGATGAAAAGACAGAAAGTTGGTTGACAACTTGAAATATCGCTGATAAATGCACAGATGAAAAGAAACACTCATAATAAAGGATGCTGCCAATGCAAATGAGCTGCGTGCACCTGCTGGCTCACCTTGTAGTCCATCTGCTCAGAGCAGTTGAATACATAGACCATGATGCCGAGGGCTCTGCCCAGGTCCTTGGTGGTCTCGGTCTTCCCTGTGCCTGCGGGCCCTGCTGGAGCTCCACTCATGGTCAGGTGGAGGGACTGGGTCAGGGTGATGTAGCACCTAAACATATCAGGGAGAAATGCACATGATCAGGACTGGACAGCCACCAAGAAAAAAAAAGCTTTTGACTGACTGGACTGAATGTTCTAGAAAATGATCAGCACTCCATTCCACTTACACACACTTCTGAGTCTTCTATAGCAATGTGTCAGCAGGAGTTTTCAAAATGGTTCTTCTTAACAGAATAGAAAACAATCATATTTTTGGTTTATAACTCATTTAAATGCAAGTTCATTCCGACCTTGAAAGCCTCGAAAGGCACCTTTATAAATTAAATGTATTATTTTTAAGTTGAATACATATGTTTATAATTGTTTACAAATTCAGAAAACAATAGGCACACTCATTCTTCTTTCTGTAATACAAAAGGACTCAACTTAAACAAGTTTTAAATGAAGTCTAAAATCTCATCTGGACACAAAACGTATGGAGATCCTTTAGCAAGTGTCTCAGATGAAAGCACAGGTTTTTGCTTCCTGCTGGGCCTTGCTGCCTGTCTACCATGGGGCCAGCTGCAGGGTCCCCAGCTGCAGGGTCCCCAGCTGGAAGCCTCTCTTTCCCAATGTTTCGGGGGTCTGTGCTGTTGCCGGCGACGGAAAAGATTCTCTGCACTCTTGCGGGAATATCTCCACAACAGAGTGAGATAAAATTCACTTTCAACATCATGATATAGCTCAGCGCCATGCCCCCATCAAACATGGTGCTGTTGTTTGTACCATTTCAAGGCAATTGGCAATCTTTTCTAGAAAAACAATGTTTATTAGAGATTTCGAAAAGCGTATAAACAAACAATGGATGTGTTTTATGAACATTCATCCATGATGGAAGTAGAGTCAGATGTTTTAGGACAGCGGTTCCCAACCTTTTTCAACTCAGGGCCCACTTAAGAATCCAATTGTTTTTTCGCGGCCCACATTCAACCATAAACAATAGGGAGACTAAATAAAGTTCTGATTGGTCAATTCAGAACATGTGACACATTGTAAATCCAGTAGAACAGACCACTGTCATGGACTGTAATGACCGTTGCTAAGGAGGATCAAGAAAGAGAAAGGAATAGAGGTTCAAATAAAAAAAAATCTTAATAATGAAAATGTTTCCACTAGGGCTGTCAGTCGATTCAAATATTTAATCGCGATTAATCCCATGATGTCCATAGTTTATCGATTAATCGCAAATTAATCGCAAATGTTGTATCTGTTCTAAATGTACCTTAGAGGGATATTTTTCAAGTTTTTAATACTCTTATCAACATATGAGTGGACAAATATGCTTTATATGTTTGTTTATTATCATTTGAACAATGACAAATATTCTCATGAATATTAAACACAACAACCTGAACATTACAAATATTCGCCTCAATTCAACCTGGAACCTCTCTCATACAATAATACTGTGTGTGTGTGTGTGTGTGTGTGTGTGTGTGTGTGTGTGTGTGTGTGTGTGTGTGTGTGTGTGTGTGTGTGTGTGTGTGTGTGTGTGTGTGTGTGTGTGTGTGTGTGTGTGTGTGTGTGTGTGTGTGTGTGTGTGTGTGTGCGCAGTGGTCGGCGAAAAGCCGCTCCTCTGTTTTCATAACTGTCAAAGCATGAGACTGAAGTTCCCACTGTGGGTCAAAATAATGCGCTGTGACCCCGAGGTAACTCATTACTGAGTGAAGTCCAATAGTCTCCGGTGAGCGCAACTGTGGAAGTCTTTCTTAAATCCTCCTACTTTCGCTTTTTGGACTTCATACAAGTTGTGTATTGTCGACACAGTGGTGGCTCTGGAAGGCAATTCATAAGTGCAGTCGTTGGATGCGACCCGAATTATATCACGCAGCCCCTCGTCCTCCACAATGTTAATTGGCCTGCAAGCTCTAGCTTTAGCGATCTTTGTTGAAAGTTTGCTGCTCGTAGACGTGTCCAGGCGTCTACACTTTCAAGTAGGGCTGTGCAATTAATCGTATTTTAATCGCAATTACGATTTTGGCCTGCCACAATTACAAAAACAACATAATCGAAAAAAACTATTGCACATATTGGTGATATGCACTACAACATATTTGATCTAATTAATTTTAGTCTAATTTATTTGTATTTATCATATGTATATATGTTTAATAGCTTGTGGAAGTGCGCTCCAAAATATTTGTTGATCTTGTTTATTGGTATTTATTATTTTGATATTATTTATTTAAATATATCATTTATTAGGGTTTAATTTATTTTTGTATTGGTTTTTCAGTTGAATGATACGTTCAGGGTAATCAACAGTTAACAAGATACTGTTCAAATTATTATTTGTTTTAAAGTTCAATAAATGGATGTTTTCAAAGTCAATGAATAATCGTATTTAATAATCGTGATATCAATTATTGACCAAAATAATCGTGATTATGATTTTCAAGTGTGGTCTGCTGCAAGCGGGCGGCAGGAGCGGGGCTGTCGGCATCAGCAGTGTGCTTGGATTAGATAGTATTTTAAACTCGATGCGCTCTGAAACTACGGGGCAGCCGAGGACAAAAAATGCACATGCGTTAATCGCGTTAAAATAATTAGTGGCGTTATTTTTTTTTTGCGTTATTAACGCGTTAACTTGACAGCCCTAGTTTCCACACAAATCATAATGTTTTGCAAATTATTTGGCGGCAAATATTGAATTGACATTTACACCCTTTAATATTTGATTTGGGCTTTTAGATGAAGACCGCACACAGTTAAAATAAAATTTATTTTGGAAAAAATGATTGCCACAAAAAAATCAAAGGGTGGTTCAACACGCCATGAAACGAAGAGTGGGATTAAAGGAACAATAAATATGCTTGCCATGTTGTGTTTTTGGTGGTATTTGGTTGTCAACCTATTTTTGTTTGTGAAATGTTGAAGTGATCCTACTGACTGTATCTTTATTTCTTCTGTTTTTGTCTGGGATGGGAATCTAATCTCCTATATGTTATTGTTATGTCCATGTTTGTGTCTTTAGCCTGTACAAAAATAAAGAAAATAAATTAATAATTTGGCGGCCCACTTGCAATGCCTTCGCGGACCACTAGGGGTCCAAGGCCCACAGGTTGGGAACCGTTGGAGTTAGATAAAGATTGTAGATCTAATTATACATCCCATGAGGTATTGCGCGAAGTCTATTGACGAATCAGAGGCTGTTGTTTGAGCTGCTTAAAAGTGCTGATCACAGTGGACATGCGTAAGGCAATCAGTGTCGTCACAATATGCACTTTTATACAGTAAGGACAATGATAACTCCTCTCTGGTGGAGCTGACAGCCCAGCTGTGTGGGGTTACTATTGCTGTTCCTCCAACTAGGTCTGCCGGTGGACACCTACCAGTGCCCATCTCTAAAAGCAAAAAGGCTTCAGCTGGACTAAAGGCCTGTTTCTAATCGATAGATTTATGATCGATAGATTTATGATTCGAAAAATTATAAAAGTACATGACATGACAAGACATGTGGAGATTATCCAACTGAACAAAACGTGATCTGTCTCTTAAATGTGTGTCAACAACAGACCTTATTTCGAGCTATTTTCCAAAATCCTATGGAGAAATTGCATTGCTTTTTTGTCGAGGGAACCGGAAGAAGCTTACTCCCGGGTTTTAGGACGCGTCACTGTGGCACTCTATTGTGGGCAGGCCAGTCTGTCCACACCCTGGGGGTGTAGACAATGTGATGTAGCCCTCTGCCTTGCACCTGACAGAAACTGCTTCGAGGCGTGGGACAACTAACTTGTTTGATACAAGAACTCCTTTTTTTTGTAAATATTGTAAAAAAAACATATTGTTTTTTGTGCTTTTAGATGTTATTTTTCCCCCCATGGTCACCAACACCTAAAATAACAATTTGCTGGTGTCCAAAGCCTTCTAGACTTATTTTCAATGTCTGTGTTTTTAATACATTTCTGAGTGATAACATTTTCGTCCTGTTTTCTATTTTGTATATATGGTCTCATAACTATTTGTACATTCATGCCACATCCCTGCTGCCTGCATATGCTGATAGCTTAGCTTGTTAGGAAAATAACATGTATATTACTTGATTATGCAGCACAGGGTTCATGTTTTACAAGCATTTTTACAAGTCCAGGCGAGCCATACCTTAGAGGGCTTAGACCTCAGAGGGTTATTAATCTCAGAACACCGAGGTGGTGGGGCAGCAATTGGGGAAATGTCCCTATCATTCCCTACAACTGATCCTAAGATATTTCCTTCTGGGCCACAGCCAAAAACTCCCTTGCTTGGCGTCCTCAGCCAGTTGTTTGAGTGCCTTCTTTTGCCGGGACCCGGTAGCTCCCAGAGCCTTGGGGAATAGTTATTGAATTGTTGCGAAAGCTCTGTAGCCGACTTCCACAGGGTAGGTAGAAGCCTTCCACCCTGCTTCAGCTTGCTATAGTTCTCTTTCTTTCTCTCAAAGGAACTTCAATATGTCCAAAGGTCCACATCACCCTCCAGCTCCGGACCTGGGGCGACAGGGCATTCGATGCAGCCCCCCCTCCCTCTGGAACCCCCTCCCTAGTCACATTCGATCTGCCAACACTCTCACGTCAGTCAAAAAAGCCCTCAAAAATCACCTCTTCACTCTTGCCTTCACCTGCTACTATTCCACCTGCCTTAGCACTTTTTACTTTAGTTCTTATTTGTATTTACTTGCTTGTAAAGCGTCTTTGAGCACCAGAAAAAGCGCTATATTAATACCATGCATTATCATTGTTATTATCAAAGGCTGCCCCCATGCCTTACTCCCATGGGACAGTCAGACCTAGCAGAGGGACAACAGGACAATGTCTGGTCGTGGGAGAGTTGTGATGATCTCACGTTGGACCTACAGTTGTCTGTCCAGGTCCACTCTCATTAACTAATCCTGTCCAGGTGTCAGGACAGACCACTTTGTCTAGTTCATCTTCTGATCTTCAGATTGTTGTGGCCCCATCAATACTGGCTCTGGGTAGGAAGGGTGTTGTCAGTGGACCAAATGAGGAAGCTCAGTCCTGCCCGTGGGATTTTCATGTC